ATGACACTCAGTTTCTTTTTGTCGAAATGGAGAAAATAAACGTTAAGACCTTAATTGGCGTGACGTATAAACCACCAAAAACCAGCATAGATAGTTACGTGAATTGTTTTTCAACTCTTCTAGACAAGATAGSAAATAATGCTAGGAACTGCTTTATAGCTGGAGATTACAATATCGACCTCCTWAAAGTTGACAGAAATGAAGAGACGTCTTCTTTCTTTAATAATCTTTTATCTTATTCCTATTTTCCCTCAATAGTAAAACCGACAAGGATAACCACTTCCTCTGCCACTTTAATTGACAATATTTATCTTAACGCGTTCGACCAAGCCGACGATATTCACACTGGTATTCTTTATACAGACATTTCAGATGATCTCCCTGTTTTTATTTTAAAGTTTGCAAAACATCTCAAAAAGTTTCATAAGAAAATTAGCAAACGTATTTTTTCAAGCCAAGGTGAAGGTGAATTTCGTCAAGACATATCTCAGGTAGACTGGTCAATAATATACAAAAGTAAAGACCTTAATGCTCAGTATGACTATCTGATTAATACAATAACCAAGCTGTATGATAAGCACTTTCCGATAGAAAATGTACGAGTCCATCCAAGTACATTAAAAAAACCCTGGATCACCCCAGGAATACTGCGTTCTATTAGGAGAAAGAATAAATTGTATCGATTAAAACTAAAAACTCCAACAGCGAAAAATATCGCAAAATTCCGTAATTACCGAAACAAGCTGAATCACTTGATTAGAAYCGCAAAAAAAGAATATTATAAGACAATGTTAGATAAAGCGCAAGGCAATGTGAGGGGCACTTGGAAAGTCATCAATGAAATATTGAATAAGAAAAAAGCTCAACCTGCTAACATCCCTTCCGTAATCTACAATGACAAACGTTACACACGAAAGACTGACATAGCAAATGTCTTTAATACCTTCTTTACAAATGTAGGCCCATCCTTAGCTAAAAMATTTAAAGATAATAACAACACCTCTTATAAAGACTGGATGAAGATTAATTGTCACAATGAATTACACTTTGRACCAATATCACATTTTAGAGTGCTAGATGAACTTTACAGCCTTGACTGTTCCAAAGCAGTAGGCCATGATGGTTTGCCTGCATACTTTGTAAAGATRATAGCAGAGCTTATATGTCAGCCACTAACTTTTATATTCAATTYTTCCACAAAAACCTGTATATTTCCAGACGAAATGARAATAGCCAAAGTTGTTCCTATTTTCAAAAATGGRGATCGTGAGCATRTGTCTAAYTACAGGYCAATATCATTATTGCCTATTYTCTCWAAAATATTTGAAAAAATAAGTWGTGAAAATTTAACTGAACATYTAGAAAGTAACCATCTACTTTATGACTATCAATTCGGGTTCAGAAAGAAAAGAAGTACAACGTTGGCGATTCTTGATTTTGCCTCAAGAATAAACGATTCTATTGATAACGGTAAGGTTTCCTTGGGAGTATTCCTTGATTTATCTAAAGCCTTTGACACTGTTAGCCACAACATTCTCCTTGACAAACTATCTTAATATGGACTTTCGGATGGAGCGCTAAAGTGSTTTCAAAGCTATCTTAAAGATCGAAAACAATAGGTTTGTATTGATGATGTAAAATCAAATAATCTACCAATATCATATGGGGTTCCACAAGGGTCAATACTTGGACCAATATTATTTCTCCTTTACGTTAATGATGCACAGTTTGTAACAAAGACTATTCGCCTTTTACTGTATGCTGATGACATGAACCTCTTATCTCATCATGCTGGAATAGAAAGTGCCATCCTAGTATTGAACAAGGAGCTTGCCTTACTTGACGATTGGTTCAAGGCCAACAAGCTAACAGTTAATATAGCAAAAACAAAGTATATCATCTCTGGTTCTCGCCAAAAACTTAAAAGTGTTGTGGGTAACAGTGTTGAAGATTTGATTAGTCTTAAAAATAGACAATTTATTGGTAAAGTTAGTAGCACAAAATTTTTGGGTGTTCTGTTAGATGAACACTTGTCGTGGGATTCACATATCACATATATCTCAAGGAAAATTGCCAAATCAGTTGGAATCCTATATAAATGTAGAGAGTACCTTAATCTTGATATTATGAAAAGTTTATACTATAGTTTTATATATTCGCATTTATCATACGGTGCGCTCATATGGGGAAGTAATTATAAAACAAAGGTATTACCTTTTCATATTCTTCAAAAACGAGCCCTTCGTATAATGACCTTCTCACGTGCAAGAACTCCTAGTAGACCACTCTTTCAAAAATTAGAGATTCTAAACATCTTTGAGATAGTCAAGTTTCAGCTTTGTGAAATTGCATATAAACATGTAAATCAACAATTGCCTGAAATTTTCCAGTATTATTTTAAGGAAGTAAAGTTCTCTCACAATTATAATACCCGTTCTGCATCCAATAGACATCTTTCTCTGCCCCGTGTAAACCTAAATGATGGTAAATTTAGCGTGAAATATGCAAGTGCAGTAAGCTGGAACGATGTACCCATTGATATTAAATCAAGCTCATCTCATCGGATGTTTAAAACAAACTATAAAAACTACTTATTATCTCGATAGTATTTTCGTCATTATTTTTGTATAGCATACTACTTATAAGCAATTTCCTTCAAACATATTTAATCCAACAACTGTTCTTAATTTATTTATGCATTGTAATTTCTCCTCTTCCGTCGCATTATTTTAAATTGATTTACCTATGAACAGGGTGCAGAAAATTTCATCAACCCCCTCGGGTTGTATTTTTGCACTCTACCACGATTCTTTGTCTTTTTTACTAGCATCAATAGCTATGTAAAT